CTTGGTTCATATCTAAAACACACGAAGGAATGTCTAAATAATCAGAATGATAACTTGGAATACAGAATTCAATTCTCTTTTGTTTTTGGTGATTTTTTCGCATTATATTAGATGTTTGAACATATTCTTCATTTTTACGAAGGTTAGCTATACGGATCCTGTTTTTATTAATTTCTGATTTTTGAAATAAATGGTCTTTACGTTTGGCAGTTTTTCGTTCACGATCTTTTATTTTTCTAGATTCGCCTCTGGTTACAATTTTGACCATAGTTTAAATTTATTATGTTGAAGTATAAAAATAAAATCTTGGTAAGAGTATGATTATAATGGTATTTAAGAAATTTCTTAGATATGATTCGAAATTTTATTTACCAGTTTACGAATTCGCACTTTATATAATTTTTTGGTGGGTATACAGAAGAGTATTTTTAAGTTAAGGATAGTTCGTCTTATTACAAGTTACTAAATTTGGTTCATGCTATTATATTATTTTATGATCTTACAAATGAACATACGATGCATTAATAAGACACTATCCTTATTACAGTAGGGTTCTAGATGTGTTAATGCATATATTTATTTGTATAGTTAGTAGTTTGATTAATTGTATTTTATGTAGAACACAGATTGAATTTTTGATCAATCCTGTTTAAATATAGCAAATTTTAGAAACAGGTATCTTAAAATCAGCCCAGATTTTTATGAATAATCAAATTTAAGTATAGTAAAATTTTGGTTGTGGGTATATCGGTCTAGCTCATGTTAAATTATTTGGTGTGCATTTTTAATACGCGAATTAATTAACACTAACACATAAGCAAATTATAGTGTACATTTCAATATTTAATAAATTAAACTTTAATCTAATAAATAAAATGAAAATTCGTCACTCAAATATATAAACGATAAAATATATATTAAAATAAGAATGAATTTAACTACAAATCATGTTGATAGAGAATCTCTCATTAAGTATTAATTAGCATTTCCTATTTTTTTATATATTATCCGGATAAAGTTAACATAATATTTTTATTAAATATGCTACTTAGAATGTGGTCCAGTATTTTAATATTGCTAATCGTGAACACAAATCAAACCGAGTTTTTAATACTAAATACTAAGAAAAGCACTTTGATTTGGTTAGCATAAACTATAAAACTTTAGTTATTTTCTTAAACATTATTAGTCAAATTTGTAGTATTATCTCTAGCATTATATTAGAACCAGTAGTTAATTTTACAATTTAATATCAAAATTCCCATTATTCACAAGAATCCACTTTCACTCGATTCAACACAACAATTCTAGCATATTCTAGCGGTAATGTTAAGTATAATAATAAAATTTAAATCTTTAAATTTTTATAAACTAGCAAAGTTTATTAATTTCTTATAGAGATGATTATTAGACAATAATCGTAATTTGAAAAGTACTAGGTATAACATAGTTGAATTTTAAATTTAAAACCAATTATTCAGAGAGTAATACGACTATTTCAATAGTATGGTGGCTTTCAATGACTACAAATATCAGTAATAGTAAAATAGGATTAAGAACTGATATTATCATACGAAGATAAGAGCCTTATCATATTATTATTAAAGAAAAGTGAAAAAAAAATAGGTATTTTATCATTTTTAATTTTGATTTATACTTTATGCTTTGTAATTGATGCCATACTTATATTATTAATCGAATTGATTATCTCCGATTAAATCTAGTTAATTAAAAATTGATATATGACATACAATCGAGATCGAAGCACATGATAATAAAATTATTCGAATCTTCAAGCGAAACTAGTTTAATGCGATTTTTTTTTGTATGTAACGAATTAATTAACATTCTTAAAAAGGTTACAGAAATTAGAAATCTAATAGGTAAACTTTTTACCAACTTTTATGTTTACTTTCTTCCCTTTTTCTTTTGATCCCCTTAGCAGATTTTCTTCTTTTTTTAGGTTGAACTTCTTCATCAAGCTCTTCAATTTCATCTTGTGAGTTCATATCTTCCTCTAGTTCCACAGTTTTTTGATCGTAAACATCATCATCAGACAGCTGACCAATAACCTGGGTACCCGAATCATAAGCATCAATATTTTTTGCCGAAGTTAGGAAAGGTTCAAGTTGCTGCTTCAGTCGGGTAGTAGTCAAATCAATATCATCATCAATGAGATCAATAATTGATAGTGTGTTAGCTATCGTTAAAGAAGAAGTTTTGGATGCAGTAATACTAATAGTTGAAGTTTTCAGATAATCAACATTAGTAGCCTCAATCATCATTTTTCCTGACTTAGAAAATTTCAGAAAACCTGATATAAAATAGGTAGATAGTGATTTAATATTTGAGCCCGAAGGGCCCAGATATTTAAACCTAGAAGATTGAGAAGGATAAATTATAGTCAAGTCTATCTTGACATCAGGTTTACCGGTAACCGAATTATATTCAACAGTCTCGGCACCAAAATGAATAAATTCTTTAACTTCTTTTGGTTCACGATTGACAATCACCGAGTATATACAATGAGGAATGCATATAGGGATAGCAGTCATATCAAATCCATAGTTTGGATTTTTACCAATAATGCTTGAATACGCGATAGTAAAACATGGTTCGGAATTTTCAACAATGTATTTACCAGAAATAAATACAAGATTACCGTTTGCAAGTACATGAGGTGATTGATTTGTGGAGAAGAAATATTTGAATTTAATCGTTTGTGACAATTCTTCATAAATCTTGTATTTGGCAAGACCTTGTGAGCATGAGGAACTATTTTTCGCTGTAATTATGACAACAAGAAGCGAAACGTGGGATACCATTTTTTTAAATTCGTGAATATTATATGATTAAGGTCTAACCACAATAAAACGAAAAAATTCAGCACGAAAACCTTGGATTTATATATGAAATTTCTTTTTAATATTTATGAAAATAGAGTAACTTTTTAGTAAAAGTAAACTTTAACAAATAATTATATAATTTGTTATATAATATATAATTTAGGATTTTATTAGATTAACAAAGAATTTTTTGAATAACTATAATAGTCGTATTATCGCCTCCAATTAAAAAAAAGAAAATTCAATTTTAAGAAAACAATCATACATTGTTTAAAGAATATAGTTCATTTAATACACTCTAACACAAAGCGAATGCATTCTTTAAATTATACAACAAATCGTATGATCTTAGTATTCACAAAAACAATTCCAATTTTGTAAATTATTAATTAATCATATCTGCATTTAAATTGTTTACCATACAGGGTTTATTTATTTACCTTCACACGTTGCAGCACAGGAGTTAATTGTTTTCTAGAACATATTATATTACATTAATCAGGGACGTTAAGCAGTCTGCGGTGAATGGGTTTGGACTGGCCTGGACCGAACTTTTAGGGACTAGTTCAGAATTGGTCTAAATTAGATAATCATACGATAAAAGCAACAACCATTTTTGACATATCAATCACGGATTATACTTTTTAGACGGCAGTAATTTAAATTGGCACTCTGCTCTAATATTCACTAATCGGATGATTAGTTAACATAATTCTAATTGGTAAGTTTTAAAGCAAAATTAGCAAAAGCTTTACAATTGATTTTTTTTTTGTGCAGATAAATTCAAATTTATTTAAAAAAACTGCTAGAATTAAACCGGTTTCTGACAGGGGCATTAATATACTTGCCGGAAACCCCCAAACGGCTTAAAGAAATTGCTATTTATAAAAAATTAAACAGAAATTAACTTTGGTATTTTGCAAATATATTATATATGACCATAAGAATATACACTATTTGTTTAAATAAAGACCATCAGTAAGATTTTTGGTATTAATTTTGACTAGAGTTTGGATTTGGAATGGATAAATTCAAATTACGTATAATAGGTTAGATTCGAGCGGGAAGTATAAGCATGAACCTGTTTTTTTAGCCTGTTCATGATTAGACTTGTTAGGGATCAGACGGATGATCAATTTAACATCCCTAATGCCAATAAGGTTAAAGAATGACCATGCTTATACGCATCCGGAAATATAAATGCAACCCATTGTTTGTAACGCAAGGCTAATACACGAAAAGAGAGATAACGGTAGATAGGCGGTCAAAAATCAATCATACAAAAATATAAGTTAACTCGGATCTCAATCCATAAATAGAGTAACGGTTAACATTGATAATACAAAAATAGAAATTAGATCTAGATATCATTCTATAAATAGAGTAATGGTAATCAAGGCGGTTAAAAATCAATAGTACAAAAATAGAAGTTAGATCTTTGTAACCCGGATCTCATTCCATAAATAGAGTAATGTAATGGTAATCAAATTTCTAAACATAAATATCTTGATTCAAATAAATAATACCTTACGGTATTATTACAAAATATACTTGCCTCAGCCTAGTAGACCATTAATTCGCCAACACAAAATTGGATTTGAATCAAATTACATAATGCATTCAGATTTAGGAGAATAATCGCCAAGAAAAATAAGTTACCAACATTGTCTACAACAATCGTAAAGCGGCTCATTATTACTCATTTATTCGCAGAATATACGAATATCGATATTTTGTAAAACTAATTAGGCGCAACAATAGTTGTATGTAAAATTTTCAATCCGTTTAAACAAATTTAGACAAAAATAACGCATACACAATCGGTTAACCGGATTCACATACGTAGCACATACATAAGCACATGTACGTACATTAACAATTCTTTCGTTCTTATATTTAATAATCAGTGATTATCATTTAATCAACCCAACAAAAAATCCTACAAAAAAAAATGAAAAATGCCAAAGATCGAGCGAATAGACATGCAGATTCGCGTAGGAACACTGATATTCACGTCTAAAAATACTGTTTTTACTATCGGTTGCTATAGCATTTGGGTTGTTGCCCCGCAAAACCATGCTTAGAGTATATAACAAATATATACTCTAAGCATGTTTTGCTGGGCAACAATCTATTTGTAATCGCATCTATGCGGATAATTGCATTTATTTTTTTTTCTATCAATTATTATACTGTTCTGTAATACCAATCAAGTTAATAACGATAGAACAGATCATGGGATAAACAGAATAAGAATTCACGTGCGGATCCATATGCAGATGTCGTCCAGACATAGAAGTAATGACATGCTATGTGAAGACATAATGCGTGAAGTTCTTTTATGCATTCACACCTCTGCTTCGCCATATGCATTTGTCCAATAAGAAGTAGATTTTGCGGACATACACCACTTAATTTGCAATATAACCCCTGGCGGTGAAAGTGGGATTTGCTTGTACAGGTAATTCGGTAGTCTTATTGGTCGTCTTTGTTTGTCGCCCCTTAACAGTTTGTTGGCGTATTTCCTCTTTTGGAGATAGATCTTTTGGAAATTCTCCATTTATATCCAATTTATGCGGGTCAAATGTCATGGTGGGTGATACTCTCCTATATCTGGTCTGATACTCATTTTCGTAATATGGTATTAGTGATTCAAATAATTTTTCTTTGTATAGATGAATGCTTGGCGTAAAGAG